TGACATTGGGAAGGATATTAGGGTGCTGTGATGGAATAATTAGAGTCAACAGTGACATATTGCTTTGGTGAGGGGTGGCCTTAGCATTTAAGCTACCCTTAGCTCACTGCAAAGAAATGATTGATTGCTGGCACCCTTACTAGATACCTAAAATTCTTTATTTATAATTGTGTATTTTTCTCTTAATTGGACTACATTGTGCCAATATGTTCTTATGTTCTTTTTTGGTTCTCCAAAGATTCTTGATGACTTTACTTAATGACATTGTGCCAAAGATTCTTTTTTTTGTTAAGGGAATGCTTTACTTTATATATTTATCTTGCTGTTGCTGGTCTGACTGATTGCTAATATCTAAGGGCAGAATCAATAGAAAACTCGTATTTTCAACTTTGGTTCGTATCTGGCTGCTTTTCTTAGATACTTGATTATTCCGGTTAGTTTAACATGGTGATTGCTCGGTGTTAATGCAACATCTAGAACACTGTCCTCCTCCCTGTTTATATTTATGGCAAAATGGTTTTTAGACCACGTTTGTTATCACATTTGAGATTATACTTTGCAGGTTGTACATTTGACACTATATACTGCAAGTCAAATGTCTTTTGACATAATATGAGGAAATTTCATTGGGCAGTGAGTTATGTTTTCCAAAATGTGCAGCTTGCATTTCAAATTTCGAAATTTGTATTATTTAAAAACTATATATGTGTGTATATCGTTTGGCTGTGTTGTCTTCATTTTCTGAGCTTCATCATTCTTGTTGAGTTCTTTGCCTTCATGTTTCAAATTTATTGAAAGGAAAATATAAGCATGCTTTTTTGAGCCAATCCTGCTGTTTGGTATCAGCAATAAGTTATGTTGATGGCTGTATTTCCTATGAAAATCGAGAGTTAGTTTCATTGCTATTGCTGAATCTCTTTGCCAAAGGACTAAAATCCTGCTGGTAAAGTTTTTAGAGGATTGATTACTTCCGAGCTTTCTTTTTGGGGCAAGTACTTCCAACCATATTTCTCTTTTGCCAGCATTGTTTCCTTTTTTTCTTTTTTTTTTAGCTCATAAGGTGTTTATTTACCCTGTATTTACTTCTTTTTACAAGTATTGGTACAAGCTGCTATGTGCTGTAATACATCATTATCACTTCATGAACTTGACAAGTTATAGGCAGGCCGATCTGAAGAAAAATTTAACTATCTAAATTGAAGCAGGAGAATTGACGTGACATGGCAAAGGAAGTCCTAATAAGATCACATATTGCACAGTTTTGCTAATTGGTAATAGGGACCGTGCATCCTTAATGGAACCATTCCACCTCAAGTTTCTGTACCTGTAACTCAACGACTTTCTATTATCTTTGTTAATTTTTTTGCTATCCTTCTGGCAATATGTTTGGGGTGTCATTTTGGCCAGTAAAATTAGCCTTGAAGGACTCTTTTTTTTTTTTACCATTTTCTTGGGTTTCCATTCTTTTAAGTCAAATAAATGGGGAATCAAACTGAGTCTTGTTTGATTGACCAACAGTGCAGAGGGAAGCAGTTGGTAATAATGATACGGCCTCCCAAACCCTTCTTCTAGTTGATGTTCATGATTGTGCCCTTTGCAGGGTATAGCATGTGCAATTTGGCATCTTAGATCATTTCTTGAAAATAACATCTCAGGAACTATGATTCAGACAGCAAACACTTGATCTGAAATGATGGATGGCGTACCTCATTTTATCATCATTAGAAGCAATGAACTTTGTGTTTAGGCCCTTGGTGCCCATCTTTGTTGGTCTCAACTTAATTATGTCTTCGTTTTGTTTACTTTTGTGTACTCCTTGTTAATAAGGATATACTGAAGCCTCTCAAATTATTCTCTCGACTCAAATGTATTGCTCAGTATGCATGTCTAATAAGAACTAAAAATTTTCATGTGAGGGACCTTTTAAGCCCAAATATGGATCATCATGGAATGTTAATTTTCACGTTGCAGGTTTCATTGTAGCAAAAACATATTAGAGGATGAGGACTTTGTCTTCTGTCTTGTATTGTACAGCTCGAACTTCATATAATCAGGGTCTGAAAAAATTCAGTAGAATTATGTTAGTATGTTAGCAATTATCTTCCTATATGATCACGGGAAGGTTTTCTTTATTCGGCCAGCTTCATAGTCTGAAACCTTAAGCTTGACAGAGAATTTTTTTTAGGGATGTTTCTTAAAGATACCTTGGTAACTCTGATACTCCACTTCTTATTCCTGCAACTAATTCCAATGTTCGTCCAGAGGTAATTATGGTAGAATCAAGACTAGATTGCTTATATCCTTCCCTTTTTATTTCAAAGATATGTCTCATGAGAATGCATTGTTTTTACAGTCGTACAATTTCATATGGTAGACAACTTCAGACTACTGGTTAATGGTTTCTGTATTGGCCTTACAGGAATTTGATTCGACATATGGTCCGGCTTGGCATTGCATTGTTGGAACAAGCTTTGGCTCATACGTGACACATTCCACAGGAGGTTTTTTGTATTTCTCAATCGATAAGGTCTACGTTCTTCTGTTCAAGACTGCTGTTGAACCATTAGACCGTTGAAACCCATGGTTATTTTATACTCTGTAATTGCAAAGATCTTGAATCCTGATTGCCTTTTGAAACTCAGAACCTTATGTAAAAAGCTGAAGGGAAAAAGGAAAAAAAAAAAAAGAAGAAGAAAGAAATCGACAATATGTAATTCTTCTCTGCCTTCGTTCTGTGTTGTATCTGATAACTGACCTATTGAATAGAGGAAAAGGAGGAAAATGTACTGTTTTTAACTATCCTTTAAAGTCCATAGGATTAATTGCAGAAGTTTGAATGTTTCATGAATTCTTGAAGTAGAATCTTGAAGATGAACAATCCAGCAGTTAGACTTACAGTCTAAAGCACTTCATCAACTCCACAACTCTGTTTGATGACCAAAAGAAACAATTTATGTGTACTGCATTTTCTTCTGCTCGTAGAAAGAGATATATTTTTCATCCCATCAAAATATTTCGCATAGTTTTCAAGAAAAATCTGTTGCGAGTTTCTGATTTTCAAACATGTTCCTCCTTGGAATCTCAAATAAGCTAGGATTATAGATCTGGAGAAATTGACGTCCTAGTTACAAAGGTGTATGGCATGGCAAGAATCTAAAATCGATGTATAATTGCTAAATATTTGATAATTCAACAGAGATTTAATCTATTTTTTTTTTTAATTTACGAGCAAATTATAGAGAATTAATTCTTCTAAAAATGAAGGAGCCAAACACAGCCCAACTGTGATACTCGACAAATTTTCTCAACCAAGCAATTTAGACACGTAATGTTTCCTCCTTCAAGTAGCCTTTTCTTCAGCCTTCTTCTACATCATCTTCTTCTTGTCTGGACTTAATTTAGGAGTTCGAAAAGATAACGAAACCTTGTCCTTCATCCTTTAAAACCTGTCCTTTCCGTCAACTGATGAGTTTGTACTAGCTTCACATATGGAAGAGAACTTAGTGCAAGATGCCTCAGATACTCCTCTCCAACAAGAAGAAGGGATGCCCCATGAAGCTCTATTTCTTGTCTTGTCTTATCTTCCTCTATATGAACTTCTTGTTATGGCTCAAGTCTGCAGATCAGTAAAAGAAGTTCTTACCAACGATATCTTGCCATGGCTGAATATGGTGGTGGGAAAGCCATTGAACAAGCGTTTCAACGATGTCCATCTGCTCAAAATTACCTCAAAAGCAGATGGTAGGCTAAAAACTCTGGCCTTGTTGAATTGCTCAAAGATTACAGATGAGGGGCTTCACCAGGTCATAGCAAGAAATCCTTACATAACCAGAGTATATTCATGAACCCTTTTATTCTTTTGTCCTGTCTTTGCCATCCTTTAGTGGGAACAGGAGATATAGTAATAAAAAATTAAATTTCATCATCCTCCACGATGCATGTTCTTTCTATTTGATTCTTCTTTATGTTATTGTTCAAAGTAACTACCTTTGTTGTAGGGGATGGAAAACGATAAGGTATGGTTTTAGTTGGACTAGATAAACTTTGTTGGTCTGTGATGTGAAGCTATGTTGGCATAGTGAAGGACTAAAGCTAAGCTCTAGAAAAGGCTGCTGTCTCAGTTCTTCCCTTTTTCTCAGCTCTGGTTACCAGCTTGCACCAGCTTAAGCACCAGTGGAGTGATTGAAGCAGTGAAGCTGCTTACCAAAAATAAGCACAAATTAAAGAGCCTAAGGATCAACGGCATCTATAATTTGAAGAAAGAAGATCTTGAAATACTACATTGTCTAATTGATGATGAAAACCACCCATGGCAGAAGAAAGGATTGAACTTCTATCATGAGTACAAAGAGTTTTCAACATTTAAACATTCAAACCCTCCTATTGATGTGGAAATATGCCCAAAATGTAAAGAAGCAAGAGTGGTTTTTGACTGCCCTAGAGATTCTTGCAAAAGTATGAGGCAGCAGCAGAAGCTTGAGTGCAGGGGCTGCCAACACTGCATCCCAAGGTGTGAAGAATGTGGCATATGTATCAAAGATGAAGATCCAGTAGAGGCAGCTTGTGTGGATGCATTATGTCTAGGCTGCTGGCTTCAGCTACCAAAATGTAGTTTTTGCAACAAACCTTACTGTAGCCAACATGCAGATCAAAAGTGCAGCCTAGTAGGCTCTTCAGGATTTGTATGTATAGATTGTCATGCAAGATTTATAGAGAATTAATCATCACAAGGGCACTAGAACTTTTAGCAATGAGATGAAATGTGTTAACTGTTATGGATTAGACTTGCATCTGAGAACTCCCACTCATTTGTTTGGTTGATTATAAGCATTACATCTACTGCATAATACCTCCACAGACTTTGAATTCTCTAGCAAAAAGTCGTTAGTTTCATATAATGGTTATATTTACCACTGATGCAACATTCCCATTGCTTATTGTAAAAATTCGTCACCTCAATGCAATTTAAGAGTAAAATTAACAACTACGAAACAAAGAAAGATCAAATCCAACAAGTGCCATTATAAACTTGACCACTCGAAACAATTTGCAGCAAAGGAGACATCTCAATGTCATTTACTTCTACCAACCTTTCTGCCCAATAAAAAAGAAAAGATGATACATGACAATATGAAGAGTCGAGACAACTCTATGGCAAATTCATTTTCAGGTTAAAAGAATACAATCCTTGAGTACAAATTGACTCTAATCTAACCTAATTACATCAATGGTTCGAAATAATCCCAAAGCCTTCTTTGTACATGTTAATGTACCACTCACCTCAAAGCAACTTGCCCAGCTATATAATCCAAGCAGATCCCAATGCCAACCCTAGCTCAATTCAGAGGACCAAAATTGGGTGTGGCAGAAGTTGTAGCAGTTTTCCACCCAAAGGTTTCTCAAGTGTCAACGTAGTTCAAAAGCAGCAAAAAGTAAGAGATCAATGTTTTACAAGAAAGCAACACCCCAGAGCATAAGACCAAGTGTTATGGAGTTAAAAAGGACACCTTTCTCGTTTAAATATTGTGAATGGCAGCCAGATACCGTGGAGTTCGACGATGGAGCTAGAGAGGTGCCATTTGTGGTGGTCCTATTCCTCCCACCACTTCATAACAAACCAAGAAGAAAACACAAACTCTCAGATGAAGCTTTTGCACATAAATAACAGAATATGGATGGCAATACAGAGATAGTAGACTAACTCAAAAACCATAGTTACAAACTCAATGCTTCATACCTTCCTGGAAATATACATGAATTATGACCTGCACAAGCAGAACGAACATTAGTATTTGATAATGCAACAAATGATGTTACAAGCAAGGAGTATAAGCATTTAATCTACACGAGTGCATAGAACATTTAACTACAAGATTCTTTATTTAAAGTTAAAGAAATCAGTCTTGGTATGTTTTCTTTCTTCGTCTTTGTACTCAGTAAATACATTCACCATTGACTTCACTAACTTCTCCAAGCTGCGGATTAGAGTCGTCCAATAGCTGATTATGCAAAAACCTTAATTCAGATGAAGGTATGCATAAAATGCAAAGCCAAGAACTCCCAATCAAAGAAAAAGTACGACTTTTACTCCATTTGCATCTGTGTTTTCAGGGAGAAGAAAAGAAATCTCCCCTTGAAATGCCATTTCATAGCTATTGATTAATTTTTTTTAGTTGTTTCTTTGTGGCACCTCACAATCTCAGTAACTAAGATAACAAAGCGTCAAAAGTCTCTTGGTAAACCAAGTCAATGCATAACAATATATTTATTACTTACTGGGATCCGAGGTTGTGACGGTAGCAACCCCATTGAAGTCACAGGTTCCATCTGTCATACCCATCTTGTGATAATAGGCATCAAAAGCATATGATGCATGTGCTACCACAGTATCCGGATCATAACATGGATTTCCTTGCATTAACGGATTGCAATCCACTTTTCCAGGGCCACAAGCCCAATCGAGGGCTGCTTGCAGCAACTTCTTATCAGCTCCTTCCTTTGCAACACAGTAAGTCTGATTCGTGGTGTCATTTGCAAGAACAGTCCCAGAACCTGTCAAGTGTAGGATATAAACAGGTACACCATTGGCATTAAAAAGTCCCCAGTTCTTCTCTGAAATAGACCCTGGTCTCAGATCTTCATTGTATAGCTCATAGATGTAGGTGCTCAGTGCAATCCCAGGGTGTTTTGGAGTCCCTGTGTTGTTAAGAACATGCCTGATAAGGTTACTATTGTAAGTATTAGCATTATCTAGAGTGGCATCTGGCTCAGAAGAGTCACCCTTTGAAGGCCAACCAGATTCAGTGATTATTATGGGAATATTGGTGAAGTTCAGATAGGACATGGCAAAATATGCTGCATCCACTACTGCATCAAAAACATTAGTATAATGCAGAAGAGTGTTACGGTCAACAGCTTCCTTGGTCGGTGGAAGAGGACGAAACAAAGCATAGTCTAACGGGATCGCACCATTTGATTGTACATAATCATAATATGGGTAAACGTTGAGCATAAGGAAGGAGCCAGTAGACTGCAAAAACTTGAGCAAGGGAACCATGACTGGCTCCAAGGTGCGGTTGAAAAATGCTTGAGAAGGTGGGAATGAATCAAGAATAATGGAAGAAGAGTGCGGGGTGGATACTTTTATCTGGGAAGCAAGATTAGAAGCAACTAGGGCAGACTGGATGAAATTCATTGCAGCAACCAGGACTGGGGCAGCATTTGGAAGGGTTGTCAGAACTTCAGATCCAACAGCTATAGCAGTGATGTTGGTTGCAGGAATATGGGCAATAACATTTCGGGAAACCCAATTGGCTGCTGTGGCATTTGACTGTCCAATTCCCAACAGTTGATCATTTGGTACTGATACAGTTACACGAATTCCAGTATTAGCAAGTGCGAGTAACATAGCTCTGTCAGCATCATACAACCTGACATGCCGGATTTGCTGAGCCTTGAGAAGGGCCACAACCTGAGTTGGGTCAGGCATGTCAGACAGGTCTGTACCTATATTTACACCAATGAAACCATCTGGAGGACAAGGACCCAAAAAACAATAAGATGTTTAGCAAAGGCATTGGCTGAGCAAGAGTTGGAGCATAAATTATTCTAATTCTCAGAGGAACTCCAACGAACATGAGTGTCATAAAGAATTGAAACCAAATACCATCTTAGACCGCATAGTTAATATAATTCAAAAATTTGAAATTCAGGAAATCGGAGCAAGTTTTTCTGCTTCATATACAAGAACAATCAATCTGCTATATAAAGCACCTGATTCATGACTGTTTAGGGAGACACAAATGATCATTGACTCAGCAAAGCCCCTCATAAGAACCAGTCACTTTAAATTAGTTGCCTCTTGCATCATTATTGCATCCTATCATTCTAAAATTCTAAAAAGACCCCTGGCAAAAAATGAAGTAAATGAAATTTAGCAAACAATCAGCCATCAGCATCAGATAGCATTATTGGTTTTGGGTTCATAGCACTAGGGCCTCTATTAACTGAATCTGCTGGTGAAGGGGCACAATGAGTTGCAGGGCAGAATCAAGAGCAAGAAGAGAAAAAGATTGTGAGAAATTAAATGTATAAATTAAATCAAGGCAACAAACCAAAGGGCTATTACTTCCATCGTAATCATCTTAAATGTAAGGTATCACGCAGTCTTTACGGAAACTATAGTTGAAACCAATTGTGGTTTTTTCATTTGCTAAACCAATGACATCAAAGATCCTCCTCAAGTTCAAGCAATTTTGTAGTCCAGCTACTCAATAGTCTTGATTACAAATATGATAGATAACAATAGAAGAGTTCATCTCTAAATCAATATGGAACAAACTACCAATTTTTGCTGGGTAAGGACACTCAAAATTAGCTATACTACAAAGCACAAACAAGATTGGTGGGCAGCGATAGCCCCATCGCCTTCAAGATTTCGGATATGTATTCACTATAAGATTTTGTAACAAAAACAGGGCCATAAGGAAGTAGATAAGGACACAAGGAAATATGTATCTTTAATCCCTGTATTCAATTGTCATTATCATAAATTGCAAAATGTTGCTGGTTATTCAAATTGCTAAACTTATACCTACAAAGATATGTTATCTTGTTCTTTTATTTGTCAACTTCTCTTTTTCATTAATCACTTGTTTCTCCAACAGGTATGCTTTTACAATTAGGTCAAAGCTTCAAATATATGCCACTGCCACATGTTCTCTCTTATAGGAGCCCACAATGGCCTTCCACACCACCAGAGGTCATAATCGATAGGAAACAGACAATGCTAACTAATTGATACAAAGCCTCTCTGCAAGAATATTGGTCCAGCATGCTACTGCTGAAAATTTTTTAGGAATCAAATTTCTCGCGGAAGAAAAAGTAGCTTCTATAAAAAGCCAGAGTAGATTCTTACTGTAATAATATTACTCCATGGATATTTAAAGACTAGAAAATTTTTCAAAGCACCTTCTGTAAGATCTAAACAAGCATAGGAAGAAGTACATGCATGGAAAAACTGTCAGATAAATGATGGGCACATATAATATAAAATATTGCATCACAACATTGTCAGCTTGTCACATGTCGACATGTTAAACATCAAGCAAGAAAATGACATTCTTTAAAAAATTTGTTGGAACTTAATGGAAGAAATCGTCCTCCAATATAACTTTTTCTTTTTCTGTGGCAGCAGGAGTATCTTAAAGAAAAACCTACATGAGCTGGGCCGCAATAGCTTAGGTTCTGTAGATGGTCCACGTCAGATTGAGGGCTTCACCAAAAATTTTTTAAAAAAAAATCCACAGAAAAGACCCTACTTTGGGAAGAACAAAGAAAAGATTCTCTCTTTCTCTAGAAAAGTCCCTATTTTCAGCGTAGAAACAGCCACTTTGTCAAGAAAAATGCTTAATAGAATTGCTTACCTCAAACAAAATTCAAAGCTTACGCTAATCAACTTTTGCACTTTTTTCTAGCTGATATAAAATCTTTCTTCTCAACTTTACGCTATATTCCTAACACCTTTACCTTAACCAAGACACATCCTTTTGGTAAAGGGTCTCACTCCCGCATACAAGCATATTGCGCACAGGGAAAAAAAAAAACTAAAACTAGAACAGCATAATATTGCTACTGAAAAAACTAAAACTGCAACGTGAAAACAAAATGAAAAAGAAACTATCCCAGCTTGAAATTAGCTAAAACAAAACAGCCCGGAAAAAATACAAGCTGAAGACCACCACTAGAGTAATGCATGAAGCAATCAATACCAAGTAAAGAGTTAGTTTTTCAGCCAAAAAAATGCAAAAAATGAGCCGAGAGATGGAAAAGATGAAAGACTAGGGAAAAAAAATACAGTGGAACTAACGTAGGAAGAAGGAAAGACACTAACCTTCAGCAGCAGCAGCACCAGCAGCTGAAACAGCAGAAATTAGTAAAAGAAGAAGAAGAAAAGATTGGCCCTTTATTAATTTCATTTTATTCAACCCAAAAGTTTCAATCTTGGGATGACACATGAGCCCCCAAAAGCATAGAACTGAAGAAAATGAAGGTGACTATTTCGAGGTGACTGAAACGTCTGATAGAGTGAAGGGGTCCGCTCTGCTCTGCTCTGCTGAAAGGAGGTGAGGGGTGTGCAAGAGAGAAGGCAGGACGAGGGGGAACCAATTTGGCTTTGAATTTATTTTTTAGCTGTTTGTTTTGGACAGATCAAGATTTTATGTCAGAGATCCGATGGCTGAGATTAAATATGTCTTATGACTCAGGTTCTTTTTTTTTTTTTTTTGTCAAAATATGACTCAGGTTCAGCAGATGGAAATTCTGAAACTTTAATGTCCTGTTTGGCTTGGAGGACCGCAAGAGTAAAGTACTTTTGGATTTTGCATTTGACGGGTTTTACTTTAAACCCCTGTCTGTCTGAATGGCAGGGTGTGGGGCATGGTTTTCCGATCCACACGGTTATTTGTAGGTTTTGCTTAAGTTTTGAGGATGTTTCGTGATGAAATGATTGACCAGTTTACCTCTTGCACCTTTGATTGTGGACTAGGACGTTTGACCAAACTTCCATGGTGATTAGTGAAATGAATGCTTAATGTACAAGTATTTAGGAGAGATTAAAAGGCAAAAATTAGATTTGTTTATAACGAAAGATTACATTAGAAAAGTTGGGAAAAAATTGGTTTAAGTGAAGCAAAATGTATGAAAAACAACACTAAATCAAGAAAAAATTGCATCCTTTTTTTTCACTTTTTTTCTTTCTATAACAAAATCGAAATAAAAAATAATATATATAGTGCATATCATGTCAAATGGATGATTAAAGAACAAATTCCTTTAAAAGATAAAAAAACACACAACAAAACCCAAACAAATACAAAAAAGAGGGCATAAAAATGTTGACCCCGATAGTAAATTATTTGAGATAATTTTGTGAAAAAATACTGTAGTACTTTTTTGATATGATGTATGTGAGATAAAAAAGTGATTGAAAAATATGTTAATGGTGCAAATAAGTCAATGTATGTAAATAAGATAAAAATAATGTGTGATCCAAACACACTCAAATGTCAAGCATACATAGTATTTGTTATTACTTCAATCTTCATATGTAAATTTTCCTCAATTTGTTAAAGAACAACAAAGTTCATTGGAGGGAAATAAGTTAAGAATCTAAAGCGGGTATATCCTAAAAATATCTTAAAAAGGATATCAGCAAATGACACAGACAAATAGATGTAAGAGAAGGAGAGAGAAGTTATAACATTCTCTAGATCTTTTAGGTTCCAATTCTTGTTGTTTGGATTACATGTATTGGATTCAAAATCTTGGAGTGAATTATTAAAATTTGGGAATTCTCAATCCCCAACAAATTGGGGGGTTTTGGTGGATTCTCAAATTTGACTCGAAGATTTCAAAAAAAAAAAAAAAAAGAAACATGTCGTCTTCATCATTCTATCACGTTGGCCCAACCTTCATAGCAGCACTTTAGTATCAGATTTTCTCTCTTATCTTTTCTCTCTTATCCCATCTTCTAGAGTAGGCTTTCATTATCATCATTTTCTCTCTTTCTTCTCTCTTCACTCGCTCTTCCAACCCTCAATGGCAGCAGCAGCCCTCCCTACCTTGGTTATTTCTCTCCTTTCTTATTAATATCTGTCTCACTTTCCCTTTTATTCTCTCTTCACTCTTTTTCTCTTTCCTTCAATACTTCATGGTTGCCGCTTCTCTCCATCTAGTTCTCTCTCCTCTCAATTTTTTTTTCCTTTTTGTGTAAGTCTTTCTCTCATCTCTTGTCAGTCGTTCTTCCATACTCCACAAATTGCAAGGTTGATTGGTGATAGTCAAATAGTGGTTCAAGAGAAATTGGTGAAGCATGAATACTTAAGGGCTAGGAAGAAGGAAGTAGAAAAAGCGAAAGCAGAAAAAAATAAAGATAAGAAAATGAAAAATAAGTTGATTTCAAAACCTTATAAATATATACCCAACACTAGTCATTATAATGATACTTTTGATCAAACCCCATACAGAATTTTTGGACGTGATTCCAATTACAATTTCGATTCCTACATTTGAACCAAGTGCCCTCTTAGGTTTTTTTATTGTTTTACCCTCTAATCACCTTTTATAATAGCATTCTCTAAACCTAGTATATACTATTTCACAATTTTTCTTTTTTCTATTCTTGCAATTTTTCTTGAGTTCTAAAATTATATCCCCTTAAACCCTATTTCTCGCCCCCTGTTGATAGCAGTATCCATCTACTGTCTCCCAATCCTTGCTTTTGTTATCTATACCTAGATTTGTTTGTTCAAACCTTTACCTTGAAATTTTGATTTTCTTGATTATTTTTTGTGTTATTAAAGCGGGGTTTTTCTTTTTGGTGTAAATAGAAATTATAATTGGATTTTGTTAGGAGATTTTAGCATGGAATTTTGGACATTTGGTTTGCATTACATTCTTATGAGTTCTTTTTGTCAAGAAGAAAATTTTCAATTTCCTTATGTGATTTAATCATTTTGATAGAGTAATAGACGTTATTGGTTTTCTATCAATGGCTGGTCATAGCATAGTTGAAATATAAATAGGTAAAAGGAAAAAAAACAATGAAATTAATGAAGAAAAAGGGAAAAAAAATCACCACTAAAGGGTACTATCAACAACAGATATCTTCTCCAATTAAATTAGTATTTTGTTAAAAATAAATTGTTAAACTAACTTGACTGGATCAATGTGTGTTAAATTTAAAGTATAAGGTAGCAAATACTTTAATTAATAATTCAAAAAAAATTAAAATATAGAGATCATTTGACAATTTAAGTGATAAATTATAGAATAGAATTAGTTTAAAGGATATGTTGCAATTAATACCTCGAACTAATAAAGCATTAAGAGTATAGAGTTCCTTTACAATTCTCCACTCCCTAACACACCATAACTAGAGACAACCTCAATATGGTATTTCTGTTGTGAAAGTTCAATTAAAGACTACAAATTCTTGTCACCCCTTCAAACAATTGTACACAAAAAAAAATGGTCATATTTGAAAATATCAAATTCTTCCTTGTAGATAGTTGTTTATAGCTAATTGAATTGTAGACAACTTTTCTTCTTTTCATGTTTTTTGCCTCTTCTTTCCTAGGTAATCTCTAGGGAAGACTTGCTTTCTGGATCTAAAGCTTTGATATCTTCGAATGTTTTACCTTTTCTGGTGAGACATGTCTCCAGATTGTGTGTGTCAATGTGAATGAAAGAAAAAATAACAATGCTATATCGAAAAATTTGAACTCACTGTACTCAACTGAAAAGAGGTAAAGTCACTATTGTGCCTCTGAGAATGGAATAGCCAATAACGAGTCACTTACCAAATAATTGGACGATCAAAGACTTAGAGAATAAAGCATAGTTGAAAAAGTTTTGTTTTTAAAAGAGTTTTGATGTGGCCAATAGCCAATACAACCATATGAAAACCATTTTTGCTAAAGTTGTTCTATAGCAAATGGTATAAAAAAAGTTTTTCATTAGAAAATGCTCGCTTAAATTCTAATGCAAACAAACATTCAAAAATTGGGAAAGTATTTTTCAAAAACTATTTTACATTAAAATCTGATTTCGCATTGTGTTTTTGGTGGTACCTTTCAAAAATTTTACTGTAACGGTATATATGAAAAACTTTTACGGTAAATGGTTCATTTGGATTCTATGTTTTTAAGAATATATTTTGGAATATTTTAAAATTTTAAATTTTTTGTATATTTTTGTAAATTTATTTAAAATAACCTCCACCCTTCTCTCCTTCCTTCTCTACCATCGTTACTCTCTTCCGCCACTACCATCTCTTTCCTCTTCCCCTTTTATTCTCTTTTCCCACCATCCTCTTCCCCTCTTCTTCTCTTTCTAGTCATGACCAAAATAGGAAAATGGGAGAAGGGAAGGGGAAAAAGGGAGAAGGGATCGACAAGGGAAGAGAAGGGAAAATAATAGTAGAA